TGTGTGGTGGTCAGGGACCGTCCAGGGCAGAAGTCTGGGTATCAGCAAACCCTGTGAACCTTCTGACAGTTGGTGTGGGGGAGGTGAGGGGGGACGGGGCTGTGCACTTTGGTGTATTTTTCTTTAGGGAGCCAATAGCTGAGAGCTTAATGCTTCATCAGATTTTCAGAGAGGGTCAGGAAATGGAAGAACTGAGCATGCTCCCTCAGGCAAGCTCTGTGAAAGTTTTTGAGCGACGGTGAGTGCAGGGTTATGGTTACTAAGAGGAAGAGATCCTGTTAGCCAGATCACTCACTGCAAAGCAAACGTGAGATGGATTTCCTTTTCTGAAAACTATGCTTTATAAGGTATTCCACTGAGAGGTCCATTTGGCAGGGCCCAAATCCTCTTCAGAAAGAAGTCAGGCATTCATTCTAACACAGAGACAAAATGGGCAATAATACAAATGATAATTTTTCTAAAGTAAAAAAGTCAAAAGAAAAGCAGTCATAAAAGAATGATACATTCTTAAGTGATAGAGCAAAATTTAAAGATACAAATGTTTGATAACTTTGCCCCTAATCCTTGCTGGTTATTATTTGCAACTTAAAATCACCTTGATTTTATTTCCAGACATGTGTGGACTCTTAACTTTTAATTTACCCTGAATATATGTTGGCTGTAGAGCACTTCTGAAGCCAATGAATGTTTCTGGACCCCCCTACCTTGTTTGGTATTAAGAGGTCTTTTGACTTCTTATAGTGGATAGTCTTCGTGTTGCTGTGCCTGAGGGAGTGCAATTTGCTGTCTGAGCTGTTTTGGGCTAATTAAAGGGCTCCCCTCGTTGGCCCTTTCGGCCTTCTGGTGGCCTGGGGGAGGGGTGTCCTGCTGGTTCTCGTTCCTCTGGACTGCACCTCATCACAAAGCAGAAGCACACATCCATAGCAACGATACAAAATTGGCATCACTGTCATTTTCCAGTGAAAGGAGTCATTTCCTCTCGCCTAAAAAAAAGGAGAAAACAGAAAAAGGTTTTCCCTCCAAAAGTAATCTCCAGCCACTAGGTTAAGTAATGCTTTTATTTTAAAGCAATGGCATTTCCCTCTGCTTCTGAAATTGTCTTCAGTTATTATAAACTGCTTTGACAAGAAAGTTTCTTAACACAATTTCCTTTCAAAACTTGCATCTCTACCAGACGAGGCATTTCTAAAGATAAACTTCAAATAGAAAACATCTGTTTTTAAAAGATAGCTTTAAAGTGCTTTCACCGCATTCTCAAAGATAGTTATTAAAGCGTTCATCCCCAAGTGTAGAATCCTAATTTAAAAAAAGTAGTCTTCCTCAGGTTTCTCCACACCCTACCTTCCCTGGGGTCTCCTGATGAAGAAAGGTAGGTTTAGGTAGACAAAAGGGGAAATGTGGTGAAGTTACATTGAACATGATCGAAAAGAATACTTTTCCAGTGTCATGAAATATGTTAATATTTCATTCTAGATTAAATTCAGCTCCTGCCACCATTTTGGAATACAATTTTTGTGACTAATATATGAGGAAATCAGGAAACTTTATTTCCCATTTCTATTTTTATTTTCTAGAAAAGATCATTTTGGAAGTTCCCTGGTAATGTAACTAATGTCCCATGGTCTCTCTTTAAAAAATGCACAATTTTATGCTCTTTATAAATGAAGGTATTTTAGTCGATAAACAAACAGGAGGTAATTAGAAGAATCTTCACCTTAAGATTCCCCCCGTCAAATTTCATATGCCATTCATTCAGTGTTTGTTCCTTTATCCACCCATTCACTTACTTAACACATTTACTGAGCAGCTACTATGTGCCAGGCAGTGTTTTCAGTGACTGAACCAAAATGTACTGAATATTGGTTCATTAATTATAACAAATGCCCCACACCAGTGCAAGATTTTGATAATAAAGGAAACTGTGGGTTGTGTTGGGGTACAGGGAACTCCTGCTACATGCACAAATTTTTCTGAAAAATAAAGTCTCAATGAAAAATTAAACATTGAAATATCTATAAAAGGTAATTACTTTAAAGGAAATAAACAAGATGCTGTTAGAAAGAATAATGGGGTGACAGAATTTGGATTGGGGACTGAGGAAGGGCTTTTCTAGAGAAGTGCTGTTTGAGCTCAGAACTAGAGAGTAAGTAGGAGCCAGGCAGGCAAGGAAGAGAAGGAAATGCATTCTCAGAAAAGCAAAGTGATATCATTTGAACTACCTTTGTAAATGCCATTCTGGTTTCTCCGTGGAGGATGGACTGGCTGGGGTGGGGGTTGGGGGGCAAGAGGACAAAGAAGAAGACAAGTTAGTAGGCACTAGAATAAACCACAGCTCTTGCTACCCACTCAAAAATCCTAGAAGAGCAGAGTGACAGTAAGGATGTTTTCTTTGCTCAGCTTGTGCCAGAAACCATTAGTGTCTCTGTGAACCGGGCACTGGGAAGAAAGGAGACTGTCAATGGCAGCAAGGTGGTGTTCCTGGGACTCAATTCCTAAGATCTTTCTAGTGGCTCAACGGGATTTATAGAATGAGGAGCGATTGCGTGGGAGTGAGTGTGCGTGCGCGTGCGTGTGTGTATTTGAGACTACAACCCAATGAAAATTATAAAGGGAAAATAGCCTTTAAGTACTATCTACTCAGCCATAGCTGCAGATTTTCATAGAAGTCTGTGTAAGGTTTAATTTGCAATAGTTATCTTTCTTCCTGCTGCTGGATTGTTAGAATTTATTTTGGCTTTTGTTTCTTCTAAGACTGCATGTTTTTATTTTTTAATTTATTTTTTATTTTATTAAACATTTTTAATTGAGTTATAGTCATTTTACAATGTTGTGTCAAACTCCAGTGTAGAGCATAATTTTTCAGTTATACATGAACATACATATATTTATTGTCACATTAAGACTGCATGTTTTTAAATTGTTGCTAAATCAACAAAGAGGACACTTAAGAAAGGTCCATTTAGGCAGGCACTGTTTCAGTACCTCTGTATTGAACTGCATCTATCAGGGTTCTGAGGGATGTTGAATTCCCAAGGAAAAAACTTCTGGTGAGTAAAGGGAAATGTCAGTGAGTGATGGATTTCTATTGATTCTGGAAATGTTAATAGTAGCATGGAAGCTTAAATAGTTTTCCATTTAAAATTAAGCAGCTCTGCTATTACACAATTCACTTCATCTTTTGTAATTTTTACCTGCCTGTGTGTACGTTTATTTTGAGATTTGCAACCATTATCTATTGCTATGCATTTCTTTTACAGTAGAAAAATTGTATGTGATAGTTGTACATTATATATAAAAAGATTCGATAACACTTTGAAAAAATCTTTAGCAAATGAGCATGAACTTCATAGCTCTTAGCTAATAATGGTTAATATGTCGATCTGACTCTCTAAAGGTTTTTTGATTTTTTTGTATTCCTGGAAACACAAACTCTAAGTCAAGAGTCTCCCATTTCAGCAGACCTGGCTTGTTTTAGGAAGCAGAAGTGCATCATCGATGTAATTTTAAGTAGTCCTGTTATGAATATGGGATGGAGGGATAAAATGAAGTTTTCCAGCCTGATGTCTCCATTGAGAAGCTCCCCTTTGTGTAAAATACTCCATGGCAAAGTTGCTTCTATTTAAAGTAGTGAGTTTGATCTTGGCTTTGATCTAAAGCTTTTGATCTTGAAAGAAGGATGGAGTAGCAATAAAGAGAGGGCAAGACAGATTTTCTTTAAAGAAATGCGATAAAATTAAAGGAATGGTCAAGATCAGCAAACGCGAGTGCGACCCGACTCTTCTCCCCAAGCGCTCACCCCCCAGGCTGATTCAGCCAACTTCTGATGAGGATGGAAAGAAAGCCTTTTGGGGGCTGGCGGAAAAACCTGGGGGGTATCGCACACTTTTATAAACTAAGTGGAAACTTTCTCCTATTTATGAAGACAGACTGTCCCCTTTGCAAATTCTACCAGTCGCTTTGGCGGGGGGC